AGGAATTCAAAATCTCTTCTTGAATGATATCTCCACCGATGAAACGAACATAAACTACTAACTGCCCACAATTAACGATGTCGGTAGATTCATCGCAACTAATTGCAAAAAATGGCGATGATCTTACTTTGTTAATTATTTGTGACTTTATGTCTGCTGCAATGTCATCGATTCTACGCTTGACTGTGTTATTTTTTGATCTGCATCTTCTCCTAAAATTCTGCGTGACTTTTAGGACACATGGATTTATTAATTCTTCACCGATAGTATGAGGTTGCTTTTGCTTTGCTATCACAAAAGCTATTTCAAATGAAGCTTTGAGATGCTGCGATACACCTGTGTGATAACTTCCTCTTTCGTTTTCAATATCAGAGTAGGATGTTGCTGCTTCAAATGCCTTGAGGCAATTGTAACTCGTATTTTTCTATGGAGGTAAATCCAAACCCAAGGTAATCTTCAGAAAACTTTCTTTTTTTCGTTGCCATTATGCACATGTAACAATAAATTAAATAATTAGTAAATAAATAAGCAAAATGCCTACATGTAATTACTAATTATATGAACATTATTTCATCTGAATAACGTAATGTATTCAACAGTATATTGGCCACCGGAGATTTATGATTGTGATGTGGTATAAAAGTCCCAATGACCGATCTATGAACGCGTCTCCACTCAATCAACAATTTAGCAAATTAAATAAAAATGGTAACTGAAGTTTGTAAATACACAAACTTACCTTTTAACAGTAAGACACAATAATTTGACACACTCAAACAGATTTCTCAACAAAACATGTACATCGAAACGTCAAATTTTTCGCAAGTTTGTGAGAATGATGCCACAGATGCTCATCCTCGTCTGGTAGGTACACAATATTGTTTTTCTAAGTGATGAATGTTAAGCGGAGCGCGGCGGGGGTGCGCTCGGATTTCATGTTGTGACTTGTCGAAACTTGTATAAACTGCGACTGACGACGCCGGGTTTTGAAACAGCGGTTGACAGAATAAGTGAATATGATATTTAATTTCTAATTTTATGCGTGTAAATTAAACATTACATTGTAATGTTATTTGTTTGTTATTTCTTTCTAAAATGCAAACACTTTCCATCCACATTGACATCTCTCTATGCCCCCGTTGGGAGGCGCGCCCCCCCTAGTTGGGAACTCCTGCTCTAGGAAATCCCCAAAGCTACTATTTTTTTTCTCCTAAAAATTTCCCTTATTAAAAATAATTTGAGGAAAACTTTAAACAGCCATGCTATTCAGATAGAATAATCTGTTAAAGATGGAAATCTCAAATTTATTTCTCATGTAAGTAATATACTAAGTGACATATAAATCCGAACACCCAGTTTAAATGGTTTTATTTTAATAAAAGTTGGTGTGAATGTATTTATCTTACTGTAAATAACAAGTGAAAAAATTTTCAGCCTTATCAGTTGGACATTCGGTTTTTATAGTGCTTTTTTTTTAATTCACTAACGCTCTAAAAATGAATATTTCAGCCGCAGTAAAGAATCAACGTTGTCGGATTTTGGTTCTTGACTTCCATTACGATCGGTTACGATGCCTAGAGTACGGAGACCTGTACGATTTCGTCAACTTAGTGAGTTTGATAGGGGCCGTATAGTAGGACTTCAGGAAGCTGGACTTTCTTTTCGGGCAATTGCAGTTAGAGTGCAAAGAGTGTAGACACTGTGGTTAGGTGTTGTCAGGCATGGCTTCGAGAAGGCCGTACGCAAAGAGCAAGGGGCACTGGACGCCGCCGTAGAACTACAGATCGTGAAGATCGCCGCCTAAGATTATTGGCCTTAAGGGACCGTTTCTCCACTACCAGGTCCATTGCAAATGAATGGTTTGCAGAACACGGAAGACCTATTGGCATGCGAAGTGTTTACCGACGAATGAGAAGTTTTGGCTTGTTTTCATACCGGCCACACTGGGTCCTCCCTTTAACTCGAGAACACCGACGTAATCGCCTTGAGTGGTGCAGACAACGGTCACTCTGGGATCAGGAATGGAACAGTATTGTCTTTAGTGACGAGTCTCGATTTTGTTTAGGCATGCACGATGGTCGTGCCAGGGTTAGAAAGCGACGTGGTGAAAGGAGGAATCCACAGTTTTTGTTGAAAGGCATGTTCATCACACTGTTGGAGTTATGGTTTGGATTGCTATAGCTAATGGTTCCAGGTCACCTTTAATCTTCATCAGAGGTAACATGAACGCGCAGCGTTATATCCACGAAGTTCTAGAACCCCATCTTTTACCCTATCTTGACACCCTGGCAGATCCAACTTTCCAACAAGATAATGCCCGACCACATGTTGCAAGAGTCACAATAGACTTCTTTCAACATAATGATGTCACATTGTTACCATGGCCACCAAGATCTCCCAACTTATCCCCAATTGAGCACGTGTGGATTATGATGGGTAGGAGATTGCTCAATTTGCAACGTCCTCCTCAGACTCTAGAAGCACTTCGAGAGGAGTTGGTGGTTGCCTGGAATGAGATACCACAGGAGGACATTGACCATCTGATCAGAAGCATGCCTAGGCGCGTTGGAGAATGCGTAGCACATCAGGGTGCATCCACACATTATTAGAGGTCAAAGGGCTTTAAAGCAGTGCAATCATTTTGAAATTTTTATCATTTACTTATTATGCTTCATTAAGTACTTATACAAAAAATTATATTAATTTTTACGCAATTAATCATTTGTAGTAAATCTTGTATATGTATAGTATGTATGTTTGTTAAATAAACTATACTCTGAATTTTTGCTTATATCGAATGAATCTACCATAGCCCATGTGATTACTAATTTGTCAGTTGACATTTATTTAGTTTGAAGTTTTCGCTTTAAGATGCCGTATAAATTAGAACTAAGAAAAGTATCCACAAGCTGGTTGGGAGAGTACCCAAAGCTGAAATATGTCGAATATTCCAGAATGAAAACATTTCAGAGAGAACCATTTATCGAACGATAGCGGAGTGCGAGCACGGAATACCATGTTTGAATCTCCTAAAAGTTGGAGATCACGTGCAGTTAGCGAGCAGGGGTCAGAGATATTGGCGAGAAGAGCGAAAAATCAAGTTGGAATGTCAACAAGGAGGTTCGCTCGTCAATACAGACCTTCTAAGAGTACGATATCGTTAGAATTGAGGAGGCATGGCCTTAAATATCGAAAGAGACTTAAGTGGTTCCCCAAATATTTCGAATAATCTTTTAAAGTCAGAATTCAATATTGGAGTTGTATCATCTAGCGCAAAACCGGTCGAGATTCCAGCTGAGAAAACGTCTGTATTCTTGACAGCAGTGCGCTGAAAAAAGAAAACAAAGAAGCAGCTGTTTTGCTGGTCAAAATAATGATGGTCTGGATGTTGTCAAATCAATAAAAAACATTATTAATCAAGCTGAAATAAATGTGTGTATCAACGGAACGCGGAAGATAAAGCAAGGTGTAGCTGTATATTGTAGGAACAGTGATGACCTGCAAAAGTTGCACGCAAATTCAAATTAGGTGATAACTTTCAAATTGCAGAACCAGTAAAGTATACTAAGTGACATATAAATCCGAACACCCAGTTTAAATGGTTTTATTTTAATAAAATTTTGTACTTGGTACTTAATGAAGCATAATAAGTAAATGATAAAAATTTCAAAATGATTGCACTGCTTTAAAGCCCTTTGACCTTTAATAATGTGTGGATGCACCCTGATGTGCTACGCATTCTCCAACGCGCCTAGGCATGCTTCTGATCAGGTGGTCAATGTCCTCCTGTGGTATCTCATTCCAGGCAACCACCAACTCCTCTCGAAGTGCTTCTAGAGTCTGAGGAGGACGTTGCAAATTGAGCAATCTCCTACCCATCATATCCCACACGTGCTCAATTGGGGATAAGTCGGGAGATCTTGGTGGCCATGGTAACAATGTGACATCATTATGTTGAAAGAAGTCTATTGTGACTCTTGCAACATGTGGTCGGGGCATTATCTTGTTGGAAAGTTGGATCTGCCAGGGTGTCAAGATAGGGTAAAAGATGGGGTTCTAGAACTTCGTGGATATAACGCTGCGCGTTCATGTTACCTCTGATGAAGATTAAAGGTGACCTGGAACCATAAGCTATAGCACCCCAAACCATAACTCCAACAGTGTGATGAACATGCCTTTCAACAAAAACTGTGGATTCCTCCTTTCACCACGTCGCTTTCTAACCCTGGCACGACCATCGTGCATGCCTAAACAAAATCGAGACTCGTCACTAAAGACAATACTGTTCCATTCTTGATCCCAGAGTGACCGTTGTCTGCACCACTCAAGGCGATTACGTCGGTGTTCTCGAGTTAAAGGAGGACCCAGTGTGGCCGGTATGAAAACAAGCCAAAACTTCTCATTCGTCGGTAAACACTTCGCATGCCAATAGGTCTTCCGTGTTCTGCAAACCACTCATTTGCAATGGACCTGGTAGTGGAGAAACGGCCCCTTAAGGCCAATAATCTTAGGCGGAGATCTTCACGGTCTGTTGTTCTACGGCGGCGTCCAGTGCCCCTTGCTCTTTGCGTACGGCCTTCTCGAAGCCATGCTTGACAACACCTAACCACAGTGTCTACACTTCTTTGCACTCTAACTGCAATTGCCCGAAAAGAAAGTCCAGCTTCCCGAAGTCCCACTATACGGCCCCTATCAAACTCACTAAGTTGACGAAATCGTACAGGTCTCCGTACTCTAGGCATCGTAACCGATCGTAAAGGATGTCAAGAACCAAAATCCGCCAACGTTGATTCTTTACTGCGGCTGAAATATTCATTTTTAGAGCGTTAGTGAATTAAAAAAAAGCAGTATAAAACCGGAATGTCCAACTGATAAGGCTGAAAATTTTTTCACTTGTTATTTACAGTAAGATAAATACATTCACCAACTTTTATTAAAATAAAACCATTTAAACTGGGTGTTCGGATTTATATGTCACTTAGTATATGTATTGTTTACAGCGACCTTTCCTCTGGTAGGTCAAAACCTAGCTTCGGTGAGTACCACATCTCGTAACATTGACATAGTCAAGGAGGTCAGGAGGATGATAACAGGCTGGTACGAGGAAGTGACTATGTTCAATAGCACTGATATCAAAGATATAAAACCGTGAGTATATTAGCTCAGTTATTGAAAGTCAAATATATTTCATATGCTGACTGTGTATTAGAAATTCAATGCTGTACGTATGGAACGTTAATAGCTTTAGACCGTACGAATTGTAGAAGCAAAGACTACATGAAGACAACTCATTTTCTGAAAGAGTAGTAGGCTTTTATGTAAGTACTTTTAATGTCTTTGTTCTTTATAGAACACCGGCAACACCAGATGCACCGAGCTTGGAGGGGAGATAGGCGAACATGTGATCCGCCTTTAGTTCAAGTTTGAACTCGCTTGAGTTATTTGGTTGTCAGTAGTGATTCTTTGTGAAACAGTTTTTTTTTATTGTGTTCTAAGAATGAACGACATCAATTTCGAGCAACAGAGTGCTACCAGGTTTTGTTTCAGACTTGAGCACAGTTGCAACGGAAACTCTTGCTAAACATATGGTGTTTTGTCAAGAGCTCAGGTTTTTCGGTGGTTTAAATTTGAAAAGGATCAGGAGTCTCTGAAATGTGTAAAATCATTTTCGTCCTTGAGATAGCCGTAAGCTTGTTTCAAAATTCGACCGGTGCTTTTCAAGTCATAGGCTAAGGATTTACAGACAGACACACAAACCGACAGGTCTACCACGAAATATGCACACTTCTTTTCAAAATTTATTTTTCGCGTTTACGCCAGCTGGCGTGGGAAGTAAAAGTCATGCAAGAAAAACTTTGTCACTTTCCAAAGTATCAGGTAACCAAATAAGTTCGTGCGGTTGCTGTACCTGTATATCGCACATTGCCATGGATGTTGTTGATCGATAGCGATTGTCACTGTTGTCACTTTAGTATGAAATGGTTAAAAAAATTTTCTTCGGGAGATCTCAGTTTGAGCGATGAACCGCACTTATTGTTCCTCAATAACAATTTATATTTTTCTTCTAAAAACCGTACGAACTTATTTGGTTACCTGTTAATTCCATGCTTATTGAGCCTACCATTACAGAGATGGCAGAGTCGGACACTACCTCCAGCTGGTATGGGCGAACACGAGAATGGTAGGATGCGCAGCTTCCACATGGACAACCGTAGAAGGCAGAACAAAATGGCGGCATCTCATGTTCGCCTGTAACTATGGGCCAGCAGGGAACATACTTAATACGGCTGTTTACGAAGTCGGCAAGCCTGGAGCGAAATGCCTCGCTGGGAAGAGGCATCCGATGTATAGGTCTCTTTGTGTGTATTGAGACAAGAGATATTGATAAGATTAGTACCGCACGAAATTCATAAAGTGCCCTCCTGAATCTTGCAATAGACAATTTTTTCGGCAGATGACAAAGAAGGAGTATGTGTTGCTTGAAAATACTTACTTTTTATTCGTTATTGACCAGATTTTTCCAACACCGTCTTAAAATAAAATAACTTAATAGAAGTGGCGGCACAATGGCTATCGATGACAAAAATAACTTGAATAAAATTCGATTGTCGCATGGGAGAATATGTCGCAAACGAGGTTTTCTTCGATTTGACAGCCGGATGAAAATTATTTCTTATGAAAAAGAATGTGACAAAAAGTGACGCCGAAAAAAAATCGTGGACAGAAAATTATTACTCAAATATTGAAAAATCAGGATGATGCCATTGCCCACCCTGTTGGTATAATTTTATATAATAGGCACCGTGCATTTTCAAACGTTTTGAATTTTGTATAAATATTTATAATATATACTGGGTGATTTACAAGTCGTGTCTAAAAGTAAAACATCATGTACAGGACCGCATTTTAAGAGGGGTCTTCCATGTAATATTTTGGCTTCATTAAAAAGATACGGGGTGTTGAAGTTTAAAAATATTTTTTTCTAATATCTTCAAAACCGTCAACTGGAATGAACTAAAATTTGGTATGTGGATTTACCTAAGTATTCCCCACATTCAAAAGACGTTACTTAAATACACGTGCACGCCACTGTTTTTTCGAAACGCAATTTTATAATTTGCTACAAATAACTACTCTTGTTTTTTTTCCTGAAGTGCATTGTTTTCGTAAAAATTAAAAAAGCAACTAATTAGATAATCAAAGCTTCATTTCAATAAATGTTCAAATCAACAGTATTAATTTGTTCAGAATACACGAGTTCTCTAAACGAGTCCCCCAAGTTACTAGAGTTACTATGTATACAGTGTGAGTCTTCATGAAGTGCACATAGCAAAATCAAGGAAACTACACCTTATTTTATTGACGGAAAAATTATCAAAAAAAAATTAAAGACAATAATTGATTTTTTATGAATATTTTAAAATTCGAGTCAGCTGCTAACCCTATTTAAATAAATCGTTACAACTTTTAAACTGAATGTCCTATCATATTGGAATAAATTTTGTAGTGATTGCAAATAATAGGCCGTACCAGTAAGTGAAAATGTCCACGAAATTAAATGCTATAAATTTAAAATAAAGAGGAATATGCTGAAACTCACTATTTTTGCAATGATTTTTAAAACAATTGCTAAATTTCAATAAAATTGTCCTATTTACCCTACCTTTTCAAATGTTAAGTTATTCTACATGTTATTAGCTTCCTAATGGTGAAAAAATTGCAAGTTTATTACTTCGATACAAGTTTTTAAATCAGCGTTTCAAAAAGCAGTGAACTCAGGTCAACGCCAGAGTAGGAATAAAACTACAGTATTAACCTACATGAATCATTCATTATCTTTAACAAATAAAATCAAATAGACTTGTCTATAGGATAATCATTTTGGCTTAATGCATCAAATGTTCAAAATGGCCACCCCGTTGCTGCAAACACATTGTAGCGCGAAGTGAAATTTGATGAGTTGCCCTAGGAATCATCTCGGGATCATTTTGATTTCGTTTGCAACACGCAAAACCCTTTCTTCAAGTTCCGCTTCGCTGTTTATGGAACTGCTGTACATCCTTTGTTTCATTGTCCCCCATAAAAAATAGTCGAGAGGTGTGAGACCTGGGGAACGCACTGGCCACCCAACAGGTCCTTGTCGACCGATCCAGCGGCCTGGATAATTTTCATTAAGAAAAGACCTGACAATCAGCGAGTAATGGGCCGGACATCCATCCATTTGAAGCATCATTCTTCGACGGGTTTGCAGCGGCACTTCTTCCAACAGCAAGGGCAGTTCAGTCCGCAAAAGCTCCAGAAATCTCTCTCCGTTTAATGTCCCTCGGGAGTATTATTGGACCAATCAAAAAGTTGTCAATCAGTGCGGCCCACACATTTACACAAAATTTCACTTGAAATGTTGAAGCCCTTTTCAGCCTACGGTTTTCATCTTTTGGGCACCACTTATGTAAATTACGACAATTCACGATGCCGTCTCTCGTGAATTGAGATTCATCTGTCCACAGAATTGTTTTCGGGAATTCAGGATTGTCTCTTGTTTTTATTACAATCCATGTAGACATAACGCACTTGGACGCCAATCCACATCTTCATGTAAGTGCTGCACCCTTTGATAATGGTATGGATGCAACCCTGCTTTCCTCAAGATGCGCCAAACCGATTTCTGGGATACGCCATGACGTAACGCCAAACGTCTCGTACTAGTAGTCGGGTCAGCAAACAAATCATCCAAAATGGCTTCTTCGATAGCAACATGAATAATAACACCGGGTTCGCGGCGATCTCGAGGCAAACCAAGTCCAGTGTTAGCCAGTCTTCTATGTACTTCTTGGAAGTTACGGGCTGATGGAACAGGGCGTCGATTTCGAACACTCCCTCGGTACATTCCATAATAATAATGGATATCGGCAATGTGTGCCGGAGGGAAATCACTTATACGTGGCATCGCGACCAAAAAGCGAAAGCGTGATATGTAGCAAACGAAACTGATAAAGTTGGCAGGAGAAACACAAATAGCTGCCTAACTGCCCAACATTCAATTGTTTTTCAACTGGGCCCGCCTCCCCACTCGTACTTCAGCCCGCGCGACTCTACATTGAATCACCAAAAAAAGGTATCTACATGATGATGATGATGACAATGGTGCCTAGCAAGACGATGCGCATGGGCTTTTTTATAAAGACTCATAGAAACTGTTACATTTGAGTAATAAACGTGCAATTTTTTCTTTTATAAAGCTGATAACATGATAACTTAGAAATAAAAAGAGGTAGGGTACAAGGGACGATATTTATATTTATTATATATTTGAAATTATTGTAAAAATGATGAAAAAAAAAGATTTTCATCAAAATTTTCTTTATTCTAAATGGATGTCATTACTTTTCCTGGAATTCTTTACTTTTCAGGCACGTCCTTTTACCAGCAATCACTACAAAATGTATTCCAATATGATAGGACATTTAGTTTAAAAGTTGTAACGAGTTATTTCAATATGGTTAGAAGCTGCTACTAAAAATTTTAAAATATTCATATATTCATAAAAAATCAAATTAATGTTTTTTTTGATGATTTATCCGTCGATGAAATAGAGTGTAGTTTACCTGATTTTGGTATGTGCACTTTATGAAGACTCACACTATATAAAATACGGAAGTTGCAAGATTATGGAATATTGGTATGCCTTGGTGAAGATGAATATCCGTGACAAAATTTATGCTTTTTGCGGTACACATAGATCACCAAATCGAAATAAACTAGAATTAGAAACTTTTTTGAAAATTTATTGGATCAAGAGCATGTAAGCCAAAATAATTCTGCGGTAGTTGGAGACTTCAACATATATTTACTGCATGATGATACTCACTGTAGAAGATTATTACGCACATCAGAAGCGGCTGGATTTAAACAGATAGTTCGTTCACCCACCAGATGTACCGATCCATCCAAAACTTTAATAGATCTCATATTTACGAACGTCCATGGCATTGTGGAAAATAATAGAAACCTGCCAAATTTCACTGATCATGAAATACTAAGTACAGATATTCCTACGTCCGTTCAAGATACAATTACGGTTATAAAAAAGAAACGAAATCAATGTTGCGACAATATCGATAAAATCAAGATGAAGCTCATTGAATGTAGCTGGAAGTATGGATCTCGAGATGTCGATTCCTTATATAATTGTTTTATTGAGAATGTGAATAAACGTATTAACGAAATTGCACCTTTAGAACAACAAAGTACTAATTACGAGTCATGGATTGATGGAGAGATCAAAAGAGCGCAAAGGGAAAGAGATGTACACTACTATATTTTCAAATTTACCAACCTGAGGGATGACTTCGAAAAATATAAAGAAAAATGAAACAAAGTTGTTGCTCTTATGAGATCAAAACAAAAGCAGTATTATGAAGAAAAGATTGACAGATGCAAAGGAGATAGCAAACAAATGCGGAGAACCTTGAAAGATGTCGTTAATAACAAACATGTCTTTAGAAATTAATGGCTGTGACACTGTAGAGAACAAATTTAGAAGCGGAATTTTGGAGGTGTCAATATTGTAAATACATCGCTCAGAATAGGAAAGACGCCTTCGTTGTTGAAGAGGAGTATTATAGTCCCAGTACCCAAGACAAACAATCCACGTACGTCAGAAAACTTGCGACCCATCAATCTTATGCTAGTCGTCGATAGAGTTATAGAAATAACGGTGCATGAACAGCTGAGTGAGCATCTACGTGTGAACGATGTTCTTTTTGAGAGGCAATCCGGGTTCAGAAGAAATCATTCTTGTAAAACTGCATGCCAATTTGTATGTACCAAGTGGAAAAAAGATGTAGATGATGGTGAAGTGATTGTGTGTGTCTGTTGACCTAAAAAGGACGAAGCTATTGACAGGACATTGTTATTGAGAAAATATGAAATGTATGGAATTAAGGGTACAGCGTTGGGTGGATGATTATTTATCTGAGCGGTTACAAGTGGTAAAAATTGAAAGTAAAATATCAAGTAATGTTTCTGTTGATCATCGAGTACCTCAAGGCAGCGTACTAGGCCCATTGCTGTTTGTTGTCCTTTGCAATTCCTTTATAAATTTGTTTGTGGATGATACATTAATTTCAGTTAGTGATTCAGTAAGTAACGAAATTGTAGATGTAATGAATAGTGAAACGAGCAAACTTAGTTTATGGTTAAAAACAAACAAGATTAAATTAAATGTAAGAAAAGCGAAATGTATGATTATAGGTTTGACGAATAATTGCAAGAAATTGGTGGATTTAAATATGCCAGTGAAAATTGAGGGAGAGGTTCTTGATTTTGTAGATAGTGTTAAGTCTTTAGGTATTATAATGGATCAGCAACTAACTTTCAACAAACATGTTGACTAGATGTGTCGGAAATTAGGCAAAAATATCGGGTATTTTAGTAGAAATTGTGAGAATCCAAGTCCCTGGTGCAGAAGGGTAGTTTAAATTGTAGCAGGTATACCCCCATATACAGGATATGCTAAAGGCATTAAATTTTTTGAACGTACACCAAATTATTCAAGAGGCAAATTTAATTCTTTTATATAAAATTATCGATAATCAGGCTCCACCTTATCTTTCTAAAAAAAAGGTGTGAAATGCAAGGTTACGACATTAGATCAAAAGAAAATTTCACATACAAAGATTTAGATTGAAGGTTTAGAAAAGTCAATGTTTGTTGAAGGTCTAAAAATGTAAAAACATCTAGTAATGCTAAAATTTTCAAAAGAGACTTCGGAGAGACCATTTTGGTTTGATGAAAGGACCTTTTTGTAAATTTAACATATCTTTGTAAATAATATTTATTATTGTTTGAAGTAGCTTAAAGCTAAATAAACCCTTTCTTTTCTAAAAAGAAATCAAGGGAGTTCAAATCAGGAGACTATTTCTAGAAAATCTGTGTTGAAACGACTGGATTCTTACGGAACGAAGAAAAATTGCTCGATTCGAAAAAAACAGAGGCGTACTATATATTTTTATTTGGAAAAATAATGCCACTAACCCCTGTATCTCCGCCACTGCGGCACGTTGATTTTAAGTAAAGACTTTTGACTGTGGACAATACTTCTACTACATTCACATATCAAATTTTAGTTCATTCCAGTTGACGGTTTTGAAGATTATAAAAACATGTTTTTTATTTTTAACCTTCTTAATGAAGCCTCCTGTGTATGATGTTTTATTTTTGGTCACGGCTTGTGAATCACACAGTATAATAGATGCTCGAGTGGGCGCGTATTATCCACAATATCTGTAATGTGAATGCAAAAAAACACTTTTTCGATATTTGGTTGGAAATAGTCTGTTCAGGATTTATTGAGGCAACACTCTGCGATATTCTATTTCATAAAAAATAATTTTCATCCGTCTGCCAAATGGGTCAAGGGCGATGATATTAGCCTATGATAGTTATGTTGTTGTCAGTAGATCTTAAAGTAAAATTATAGTTCAGGAAACATCTTCGTGTCCGCTCGGAAAAATATTCTGATTCGGCTTTCTTTGGAAAATACCATTCAAAACGCACCCTTCTTGACAAATCTTCGTACTGTTACGTGCCCAAACTGCTTCAAAAATAGCTTATTTCATTAGTTTTTTCCAAAAATAGTTTTTTCTTCGATCCCAATAATTTCATTTCACTTATTTTTGGTTATTCCGAACTTTACCCTGAAGATCATAGTTTTCGAAATATCAGCGATTTAATATGCGAGAAAGTTACGAAATATGTTACTTTCGTCTCCAAAAAAAAACACAACATGAAAAAATCAAAGTCTTAATGCTGTAGGAGTTCTTGAATATCCATTAATTGAATTCCGAAGCATTTAAGGGGTTATGATTATTATAAACCTTTGGTTTTAATTGTTAGTCAAGTGTTTCGTCTTTAGTGTGAATTGAGAATTCATATATGCAAACATCTACATATGATTTTATAAGTTGTAATTATCTTACATTAGGCAATAGATCTGTAGCTTTTAAGCAATTCTACAAATGTCACTAAAACTACCATTTCAATTTAGAATCTTACAATATCAACAACAAAAAATACTCAATTATTCTTGCTGAAAAAATTATATTAATTTTTACGCAATTATTCATTTGTAGTAAATATTGTATATGTATAGTATGTATGTTTGTTAAATAAACTATACTCTGAATTTTTGCTTATTTCGAATGAATCTACCATAGCCCATGTGATTACTAACTTGTCAGTTGACATTTATTTAGTTTGAAGTTTTCGCTTTAAGATGCCGTATAAATTAGAACTAAGAAAAGTATCACAAGCTGGTTGGGAGACAACTCAAAGCTGAAATATGTCGAATATTCCAGAATGAAAACATTTCAAAGAGAACCATTTATCGAACAATAGCGGAGTGCGAACACGGAATACCATGTCTGAATCTCCTAAAAGTTGGAGATCACGTGCAGTTAGTGAGCAGGGGTCAGAGATATTGGTGAGAAGAGTGAAAAATCAGGTTGGAATGTCAACAAGGAGGCTGGCTCGTCAATACAGACCTTCTAAGAGTACGATATCGTTCGAATTGAGGAGGCATGGCCTTAAATATCGAAAGAGACTTAAGTGCCTCCCCAAATATTCCGAATAATCTTTTAAAGTCAGAATTCAACATTCGAGTTGTATCATCTAGCGCAAAACCGGTCGAGATTCCAGCTGAGAAAACGTCTGTATTCTTGACAGCAGTGCACTGAAAAAAGAAAACAAAGAAGCAGCTGTTCTGCTGATCAAAATAATGATGGTCTGGGTGTTGTCAAATCAATAAAAAACATTATTAATCAAGCTGAAATAAATGTGTGTATCAATGGAACGCGGAAGATAAAGCAAGGTGTAGCTGTATATTGTAGGAACAGTGTTGACCTGCAAAAGTTGCACTCAAATCCAAATTAGGTGCTAACTTTCAAATTGCAGACCCAGTAAAGTAGAATGAAGAACTGACTTCAGACGCTGAAATTATTAGTAATATTATCAAGCTGAACGATTTGGACGAAAGTAACTCCAATATAAAACTTGTTACTACGCTAAAAAGCAATGCCCACCATTTGGTTTTGGAGCTTCCACTTCTCGCTAGGAAGAAAATCATCGATAAAGGCTTTATATGCATTTGCTGGAGGAGACATAAAGTGGTTGACAATATTAACGTAGTTCAGTGCTATAGGTGTAATTTTGTGCATAGTGCTAAAAATTGTAGGGCACAATCCGTAACCTATATAAAATGTTCTGGTAGTCATTTGTTCAAGGAATGCAAGTATGATACAGAAAAATGTATTAATTGTCATAAACATAATGAAAATATAGTACCTCACACAAGGCAAATGATAAAGATTGTGCAATGTATATATATAACAAATTTTGAAAATCTGAAAAGTAGGGTAAACTATGGCAGCTAAACGGTGCATTCTGAAAATTGGACACCTTAACGTACGTTCTCTGATATCGCACTTTGACGCGGTTGTCAACCTGGTCAAATCTCATGCTTTGGATATATACTAAGTGACATATAAATCCGAACACCCAGTTTAAATGGTTTTATTTAGTAAAAGTTGGTGAATGTATTTATCTTACTGTAAATAACAAGTGCAAAAATTTTCAGCCTTATCAGTTGGACATTCCGGTTTTTATACTGCTTTTTTTTAATTCGCTAACGCTCTAAAAATGAATATTTCAGCCGCAGTAAAGTGCAAAGAAGTGTAGACACTGTGATTAGGTGTTGTCAGGCATGGCTTCGAGAAGGCCGTACGCAAAGAGCAAGGGGCACTGGACGCCGCCGTAGAACAACAGACCGTGAAGATCGCCGCCTAAGATTATTGGCCTTAAGGGACCGTTTCTCCACTACCAGGTCCATTGCAAATGAATGGTTTGCAGAACACGGAAGACCTATCGGCATGCGAAGTGTTTACCGACGAATGAGAAGTTTTGGCTTGTTTTCATACCGACCACACTGGGTCCTCCCTTTAACTCGAGAACACCGACGTAATCGCCTTGAGTGGTGCAAACAACGGTCACTCTGGGATCAGGAATGGAACAGTATTGTCTTTAGTGACGAGTCTCGATTTGTTAGGCATGCACGATGGTCGTGCCAGGATTAAAAGGCGACGTGGTAAAAGGAGGAATCCACAGTTTTTTGTTGAAAGACATGTTCATCACACTGTTGGAGTTATGGTTTGGGGTGCTATAGATTATGGTTCCAGGTCACCTTTAATCTTCATCAGAGGTAACATGAACGCGCAGCGTTATATCCACGAAGTTCTAGAACCCCATCTTTTACCCTATCTTGACACCCTGGCAGATCCAACTTTCCAACAAGATAATGCCCGACCACATATTGCA